TGATTCCAAATGGTGGAGTTTTTAAAAATATCTCAAGTGTCCATCTTGAAGGCAACCCTAAGCTATGCATGCATTTCCCATGTGTGAAACATAGGAGAAAGGTACTTGTCCGAGTTCTTCTCTCTACTGTTGCTTTGGCAACGTTGGTAACATGTATTACAGTTGGTCTTTTGCTACATTTTAGAAAAAGAAGAGGCTCAGGCGGCAAAGCAACAGAAACTAATTCTGGTTTGCTACTAAAGGGGCAACATCAAATGGTCAGTTACGAAGAGCTACGTGGGACAACTGGGAATTTCAACCCCGAAAATTTGATTGGAACAGGGAGCTTTGGGGCTGTATACAAAGGTCTTTTGAGAGAAGGAACTGAAGTTGCAGTGAAGGTGCTTGATATGAAAATGACAGCATCTTGGAAGAGTTTTATGGCAGAGTGCGAAGCATTGAGGAGCGTGAGGCACCGGAATCTTGTTAAACTGATCACCTCTTGCTCCAGCTTGGACTTTAAAAACATGGAGTTTCTTGCTTTGGTTTACGAGTATTTGAGTAATGGGAGCTTGGAAGATTGGATTAGAGGCAAGAGAAAAAATGCAGATGGAGATGGGTTGAACATTTTTGAGAGACTAAATGTGGCCATTGATGTGGCGTGTGGATTGGATTATCTGCATCATGACTGCGAAGTTCCGGTTGTGCACTGCGATTTAAAGCCGAGCAACATTCTTTTGGATGGAGATATGAATGCAAAGATCGGAGATTTCGGGCTGGCGAAGCTGCTGATGGAGAGCACAGAGATTGCGCAACAGTCACTTAGCTCCACACATGTCCTGAAGGGTTCTATAGGATACATACCCCCAGGTTGGTACTAATTACATAGTTCTGAACTATTTCTCACTTGAAAGAATATTTAATTGTTTTTCAATACGCCATATGATACATGTCAATCATTGGTCGATTTTCGTGATAAGTAACACTTCGTACCGGTTAATCACGGGTGTCAAGTAAATTTGCTTGCTTTTTAATATACTAACTTGGAGAATGAATACCACACTGTAGAGTATGGTATCCACCAGAAACCCTCGACAGCGGGTGATGTATACAGTTTCGGAGTAGTGTTGTTACAGCTCTTCACCGGGAAAAGCCCCGCCCATGAAAGTTTCACAGGAGATCAAAGCATCATCACATGGGTGCAGTCAGCCTTCCCTCACGACGTGATCAAAGTGCTAGATTCCGAGCTGCTAGACGACCTCATCATCACAGAAGTAGGACATAATTGCCTCATCTCAATCATTGAGGTTGGCCTCTCTTGCACTTGTGCTTCTCCCGACGGACGCATAAGCTTGAGGGACGCCCTTCACAAATTGGAAACTGCCAGAAAGACCCTTCTCAGCGCAAAGAGTGCCAAGCATCAATATTAACAACAATTGAAAGTTTATGTACTGATTTTGTTGGAAAATAATAGTATTTAGGTTATTATTCAGGTTTTCTTTTAAGATTAGTTTTGGGTCTAGCCTATTAGTATTAGGGTTATGTTATAAATATAATGTTTTGTAACTATAGAAAATAAGTTAGTCACAATGTGGCTATCTCGGTGATTTGTAGTCATCTCTCTCGTTTTAATTAATAAAGTTATATTATGTCTGTTTGTTATGTATATTTTGATTTTCAATTGATTATTGGTGATTTTATAATTTCAAATGCAATAAAATTAAAAGAAGGTAAACAATGTTTAGGAAATGATTTGAGAATTGAAAATTCACGGCTAATATATTATTTGATGTTGTCATATTCGAAAGTGAATTTTTTTTGTAACTTTTCGAGTAGTTTTGAGCGATGAACACAAATTTTTGCCCTATTAGGCTTGAGCCCTTTGCTTTCGGAAACTTAGCTGATCCGTTTCTGTATTTACACGCTCAAACTTATTTCATCATAAGCACTACAAGAAAAGTGAGCAAAGTCACTAATATATTGTCACCAATTAATTATAATGTAATTACATTTTTGTCACCAAAACATCATTGGTATGCATTACTCTTTGAGTCACTATTTTTATTGGCAATCGGAGTCACTAATAAGAATTATAGTAACTTTAGATTTGTAATATTTTTGCTACCAAAGTCAATTAGTGTCTAAAATAATAGTATTACTTTATTTGAATTCCAATAAAAAAATTAATACTCCAATTGAAAAATGAAATTTAATACTTCAAAATAAAATAATATAAACTTTCTATCTCTCTTTCGCGGTTTTTAAATTTTAGGGGTGTAGTCAATTTGGATTTCATAAGATTTTAATGAACCTTTTTAAGTGACAGATTTTGAAAGATTTTAATAGATTATACAATTCTATATAGATTTTGACATATTATTATGGATTTCTATTATAAATTTCTATGGATTTGTAAGGATTTCTTTCATGGATTTCTTAGGATTTCTTCTTTGACTCCTACAACATAAATTTCTTTCTCAGTGCACAATCTGAAAAAGACATAAGCATATATATATATATATATATATATTGATATGGAAATATTAACCAATCAAATATGTGTTTCTCTTTCTCATTTGAATTGGGATTTATTTACGAAAAATAATTTTAACTAGCCAAAACAAGTAGTGCTTCTTGAATCAAATGTCTCAAAATTAACACTTTTTCTCAACAATTGATTAGTTCATAATCTGTGTTGTTCAGTCTAAGTACATCTACTAATATAAATACACGTTAGAAGATACTTGCACTCTTACACTAACACGATTACACGAAAAAGAACATAAAGCATTAATTGGCAGTAAGATTACGAGTAGTAATTTTAAGAGTTCAATTAACATGGTAAAAAATTAACAACTTCAGATAAAATGCATAATCATTACAAGAATTGCTAGTAGGCATTAACACTTCCCATCAAAGCATTACAAAAAATATTACACGATCCAAAAATAAAGGAAATAAAAAATTCAAAAAATTCAAGTTGGCAAGCAGGACGGTGACAGATGAACATGAAGGGACATCAAGTTGGCAGGTTTTATGTTTGAAAGAAAATGGAGAGTGAGAAAGAAAGATCAAGTTGCAAAGTGTAGAAAGAGAGAAAGCGAGGGGGTTGAAAAGAAATCCTAGGGGTGGAGGTAGGATTTTGTTATGCTTACGATCGCTTCTCAAATCCTACAAAATCTCATATTAAAAGAAATCATTCAAAATCTATGAATTTATGAATACCTATAGATTTGCATTGACTCTATAAAAATCTTTTAAAATCCTAGTTGACTAGACCAGGATTCTAAAGTATTTTAAGATCCTTTAATTGACTATCCCTATATTTAAATAGATTCTTTTAAAATCTTTTAAAATCCTAGTTGACTACACCAGGATTTTAAAGTCTTTTAAAATCCTCATTTGACTACACCCCCTTAGAAGGTTTTCGAAATTTTATTATTTTATAATTTATTCTCTTTTTGGAGGTAGGCTTTGCTACGACTGTTTAAACAGTTTTGACGTTGTATATGAATTGTCATTCATATCATTCAACACTAAACTTTGAGGTTTTCTCAAATTTTTATGAATTTCATTTGCTAATGGATTATAGCTTAAGATTTTCGTTCGATTTCAATGTATCACAATGCATCATTATCTCTTGTTATTATTTCATCACGTGACAATTAGTCATTGGATAGAAAATACACTTTATGAACACATAACAAATGCTTATTCGAAAGTTAAGCTATTAGGTCTAAAAAGTTAGTTGCACGAGAGAATGTGTGTGTTAGAGCAAGGTTGGTGCCCTTTATTTCATTGACAAAGAGTCATCATAATGCTGTAGTTTAGTTTTAGGCCAGCCTCCCCCACCCCCAACCTCCCAAAAAAAAAAACAAAAAACAAAAAAAACCCACTCCACCCCACACAATAGGTTGGCCCAAAGTGGAGGCCAGCTTTGAGTCCAGCATATAATGGACTGAGCAAGAGACCGGCTTATATAACGCCAGGTTGACGTTAGCCATATGAATTTTTTTTTTTTTTTTTTTGATGCTGGCGCGTGGGATACACGTGAAAGTGGGCGAGCGTTCCAGCATTAAAAAAAAAATACATAAAATGTCATAATCTTACTGTGGGCCACGTGTCCACTTTTAGGCTGTTGGATGTCATCTTTTTTTAAATCCAACGGTCCAGATTAATTAATTTAATAAAAAATTATTAAAATTGTTTAAAAAATACATAAAAATATAAAAGATTACACACACACACACACCCCTCTATCTTTCACAAAAATTGTACTATCGGAAAATAACACGTGACGTGACAAGATTGGTTAAAAATTCTATACGAAACTAAAAATATTTTAATACGAATTGACTAGACTCTTGCCCAGCTCATTTTTTTAGGGGTGAAGATGCATTTGGCCAATTATTGTTCATTGGAGTCAATTACTATTCATTTGAGTGGATTAAATGGATTTTGGACCAGCTCATTTTTTAGGGGTGGAATTGCTCTCATAACAACAGTTCACCGATCCCACAAAGGCAACAAACTATATCAGGAAAATGCTAGTGGTTCCCATAACCAACTGGTACTGGTTATCACACTTTGACTTTGAGATATGTCTAAAATCGAATGCATTGATTACAATTTACAACATTGCGAAACAACAAGTAGAGAGATCACAATTTACACTAGAGTGAAGTCAGACATCAAATATACATCAGAAATTCATGATAACTCTTGTTCCACTAAAATTAATTTAAAATAAAAACCAATATTGCATGGTACAAGAACCCAACTCTCAAATCACAGTGCCCATAACAACAAGATAGCTAGGTTATAAGTATCAATGGAAATGAACATTAAGTACTCAACCACCACCAATGGGAACTTATCTCAAAACGCTCAAGAAATTAAGACAGCACACGCACTTGACTGCTAAGAACCGGGTCATCCTTTTCTTTTAGGCACTGAAAAGTCACTATTCTGGTACTTAGCACACCAAATTGGACCAAGCACCTATGTATAAGTTTCTGAACTGAGCAAGCATGTTTCAATATTTTTTCCATACGAGTTCAGAAGGAAACCCCCCAAAACGCCATGAATTCTCACATTGCCGTAACATTATTATCTGTTCTTGCATGCATTTTCCTGAGTGTAGACTCAGCATTTACTCCAAGCAATGTCACAGACAAGGAGGCCTTGATATCATTCCAATCAACGGCCAATCTCCCTCCATTTTTCTGGAACCAAAGCTCATCCCCCTGCACCAACTGGACCGGAGTTGCTTGCAACAGAATCGGTGGGACTCAAAGGGTTGTTTCTCTCGATCTTTCCGGCTTCAGACTCACTGGCTCCATAAGCCACCATGTTGGGAGCTTGACAGAGCTTCAAGTCTTGAACTTGGCGCGCAACAATCTCAGCGGTCCAATCCCGCCATCCATAAGCAACCTGTCTTCCACCCTCACAAGTTTGAATCTTGGCACGAACAGCCTCACCGGTATAATCCCAATGGAATTAGGTTTTCTTCGTAAGCTCAAAGAACTTGATCTTGCCGGCAACCAACTCACCGGCACTGTTGCCTTGTCCATATACAACATCTCTTCGCTAGTTCGCTTCACCGTTGCTTCAAACCAACTCTGGGGTGAAATTCCAAGCAACATTGGCGTCACGCTGCCAAACCTTCTCTACTTCAGAAATTGTTTCAATCTGTTTACAGGGAAAATTCCAGCGTCCTTGCACAACATTACAAGGATTCGAGAGCTCCGACTGTCCAACAATTTCCATGACGGTTCGGTTCCACCAGGCCTCGGAAATCTTCCCTTCCTTGAAATGTACAATATTGGTTTCAATCGGATCGTTAGCTATGGTGACAATGGTCTTAATTTGATTACTTCTTTGACAAACAGCAGTCGCTTAAGTTGGCTTGCAATTGACGAAAATCGGTTGGAAGGCCTAATTCCAGAGTCCATTGGCAACCTCTCCAAGGTTCTTTCGAAACTGTACATGGGAGGGAATCGAATTTATGGTAACATACCTGCCTCAATTAGTCAACTCAGTAGCTTAACTTTGCTAAATGTGACCTACAATTCAATTTCTGGTGAAATCCCATCAGAAATTGGGCAGCTGAAAGAGTTGCAAGTGCTTGGGTTAGCAAGAAACAAATTATCTGGCACAATTCCTAACTCCTTAGGTAATATCATGAAATTGAATCACGTTAATTTATCTGGAAATTACTTTGTTGGCAATATACCCCTTGCATTTTCAAACTTTCAGAAATTGCTTTCCATGGACTTATCCGACAATTTGCTCAACGGAAGCATTTCCGGAGAAATATTTCTAAACCTTCCTAGTTTGAGCACAATTTTGAATTTGTCTAACAACCTTCTAAGTGGACCTTTGCCTGAAGAAATTGGAGTACTAGCAAGTGTTGTCACTATAGACCTCTCCAACAACGGCTTATCGGGATCAATTCCCAGCTCAGTCGGAAAATGTACAAGCTTGGAGAGATTGTTCATTGCAAGAAACAACCTCTCCGGTCCTCTTCCAAATTCTCTAGCTGAAATCAGAGGTCTTGAGATTTTAGACCTCTCCTCGAACAAGCTTTCTGGTTTTATTCCTGATAAACTTCAAGAACTACAGGTCCTTAGCTTCTTGAACCTCTCATTTAACAGCTTAGAGGGAGTAATTCCTAATGGTGGAGTGTTTGTTAGAAATATCTCAAGTGTATATCTAGAAGGAAACTGGAAACTTTGCCGAGATTGGCCATGTGTGAAGAGTGGTGGTCAGAGGAGAAAAGTACTGGTTTTAGTTCTTATCATAACATCTGTTCTGGCAGCATTGGTAGGCATTGTGGTAATTGCCTGGTTGCTTTATGTTAGGAAAAGAAAAGGCTTAGGCTGCAAAACAACAATTAGAGAAACTTCTCCTGATTTATTAATAAAAGGGCAACATCAATTGGTCACATACGAAGAGCTCCGCAGCGCAACTGGGAATTTCAACCCGGAAAATTTGGTTGGAAGTGGGAGCTTTGGGACTGTATACAGAGGGTTTTTAAGACAAGGGACTGAAGTTGCAGTGAAGGTGCTTGATATAAAAATGACAGGATCTCGGAAGAGTTTTTTGGCAGAATGTGAGGCGTTGAGGAACGTGAGGCACCGCAATCTTGTTAAGTTGATCACTTCGTGCTCGAGGGTGGATTTTAAAAACATGGAGTTTCTGGCCTTGGTTTATGAGTATTTGAGTAATGGGAGCTTGGAAGATTGGATTAAGGGCAAGAAAAAGAATGCAGATGGAGATGGATTGAACATTTTGGAGAGACTCAAGGTGGCCATTGATGTGGCGTGTGGATTAGATTATCTGCACCACGATTGCGAAGTTCCAGTTGTACATTGTGATTTAAAGCCGAGCAACATTCTTTTGGATGGAGACATGACTGCAAAGATTGGAGATTTCGGGCTGGCGAAGCTGCTCATGGAGAGAACAGAGATTACTCAACATTCTCTTAGCTCCACAAATGTTCTGAAGGGTTCTATAGGATACATACCACCAGGTTAGTACTAATTATTCTATTTCCTCACTTGCAGACAATTTTAGTTATGTTCAGTATGTTCCATAATTCATTGCCGTTATATTTTGCATATTGCGTTGATATATGGTCAATCTTTGTAACTTTAATGAATATTGTTAATGTATTAAGTATTGTAGATTGATACTCGGTATCAGTTACTTGCGGATTGTTTTAGCAAATGTGCTTGCTTTATAATTTTCTGACTTTGAGAATGAACACTACAATGTAGAGTATGGTTTTGGACAGAAACCATCGACAGCGGGAGATGCATACAGTTTCGGAGTGATGTTGCTGGAGATCTTCACCGGAAAAAGTCCAACCGACGAAAGTTTCACAGGAGACGAAAACCTCATCAGATGGGTGCAATCAGCCATCCCTCACAACATGATCAAAGTGCTAGACCCTGAGCTGCTAGACCTCATGCACTGCCTGCCTAATGAAGGGCCGTATCTCATCCCAGCAGAAGAACATAATTGCCTGGTCTTAATTTTCGAAGTTGGACTCTCTTGCACTTGCGTTTCGCCTGAAGGACGCAGTAGCTTGAGGGAGGCACTTTACAAACTAGAAACTGCAAGGCAAACCCTGTTCAATGTTGAGAGTGTCAACAGTCAAGCATTAACTTGAGCAACAATTGCACATTCATGAATATGTTAACAGCGAAAATCTTCCGAAAACACGAATCTCGCACTCCCGGAGGCTCGGATATATGAGGGTGGTTTTCATATTGCTGTAAATGACACACCCAAACCAATAGTTAAGGCTGCTATGTATAAAACATTTTGTTTTCAGTATCTGGATTTGTAAGGACGATGATGAGAAGAATAATATATTGCTTTTTTATGTTACTGTTAGATTTAGCCTTCTTTTTTCGTTCCGCTTGGACATCTCGATAGAGTCAAAAATAAAAATTTTGAATATAATAATAAGGAATTAGACAAACGTCTAAGATAAAAATGAAGAACCACTCAAATTTTAATTGAAGTCAAACAAAGTAAAAAAAAAGAAAAAAAAAGTGTGGGCTTAGGCCTTTTTCGATCAAAAGAATCAGTTGCACGTTTCTTGTCTCGCTAAAGTGAAAGAAATCAATTTAGATGAAATTTACAATTTACAAAAAAGAAATTCAAACTCAAACTCAAATAAAATAATATAATATAATATAATTCTTTAATCAACTGATTTATACATATTTAAAATAAAATAAAATTTATTGTACTTGATTTAGAAGAGTAGCAGCAGAAAGATAAAAATCAAAGTATCATTTTCAAATCATCCCGCCCCAAAATTTGTTTGCCCCAAAAGTGAATTATGAAAGTTTCAAAATTTGTTACCCAAATCAGACAAAAAAAAAGGAAATTATTATTAACATTCTAAAAATCTCATTATACACTCCAAATTTCATATATTTAAAGAAAAAAATACATTTATGATGAGTATAAAATAAAAATTTTAAAATGACAATAACACTTAAAAAAAAAAAAACCGGACCAGAAAAAACCCCAATTTCAAGTTCACAAAGCGCTCAAAATCAAAGTTTTGAATCCGGTTCATTGGAAAGTCACGTCACGTGCGTTTCCACAAATTTTAAATTCGACCAAACGAACACGACAAACCGCTCCAAAAATTACTGAAAAACACAAAATCAAACGCTCCAAATTCCCAATGTCTCCAAAACCAAAAACAATTCGCATCAAATCAAACAGCGCGAAAAGAAGAAAATTTTGAGGCTCTTCAAACATGGCGCTCTCCCTATCTTTCTCTTCGAAGTCTTCAACTTCCTCTACAAATCCCCATCTCCTCCCTCACTCTCTCACACCTCCAACTCTCTCTCTCTCTCTGTGTCCAAGCTACAGCGAGTAAAGTCCAAAGCTCGGTACTCTGGGAGCAATGGCCTCTACCACTGTGGCGGAGCAAGTGAACTGCAGTCGCATCACCACTCGCTCGGCTGCCAAGAGGAGGGCGATGGCCACCTTGGCGGAGGAGAACCAGTTGGGTAATAAGAAGCGCGCGGTGCTTGGAGATGTTACGAATCTGGTTAACGTCGTCGTTTCGAGGAACTCCAAACGGGTTGAGCTGCAGAAGCCCCATTGTGTCACCGAGAAGGAAAAGAGGGCCGAGGCGGCGCGTGAGTTTGAGGATCCGCAGCTGTGTGGCCCGTACGCCTCCGACATTTATGCATATCTCCGTCGTATGGAGGTACAAAGATCCCACCTTTTCCCAAGTTTTTCGATTTCTTCATTCGATAAGTTGAACGGTGTTGGATTGTTCGATCGATCTTGACATTGGGTTAGGGTTTTGGGTTCCATTTTGATAATGGTGATTTGAATTTTGAAAAATTCTGCAACTTTTTGGGCTTAATTAATCTCAATTGGGGTTCATGTTTTGTGAATTTGGGATTTACGGTTTGCCAATGAATGATGGGTTTTTGTTGTTTAGGCGGAGCCAAAGAGAAGGCCGTTGCCTGATTACATGGAGAAGGTTCAGAAGGATGCAAATGCCAATATGAGGGCAGTGCTTGTGGATTGGTTGGTGGAGGTTTCAGAGGAATACAAGCTCCTTCCGGAAACCCTTCATCTATCTGTTTCTTACATCGATAGATTTCTCTCGATGAATGTTGTCCACAAGCAGAAACTTCAGCTTCTGGGAGTTTCTTCGATCTTCATTGCCTCGTAAGCTCGCATATCTTTGGATCTGTTTGTGAGTTTGTCTGATTGGTTCTGTTTCTTTTGATCTGAAATTAATGATGCTTTTAACCGATAGGAAATATGAAGAGATTGATCCTCGCAACGTTGATGAGCTCTGTGACATAACTGAAAATACATACACAAAGGAAGAGGTATTTGATCTTTTACTTTGTGTTTTATCTGTGATGATTGTCTCTTTTTACATCAGGATCTCAGGTAGATACATGTGCTTCATACTAAGAGTGATTTTTTGGTGGTTGTAAAGGTGATCAAGATGGAGGCTGATATACTCAAATCCCTGAAGTTTGAAATGGGGAATCCAACTACTCGTACCTTCTTAAGGTAAGGATGAACCCGACGTTCAAAAGTCACTCTTTTTGGTATATTTAGTTGCTTCCCAAGCTTAAATGACCTTGGCTGAGTGTTTTTGTTCCTTTGGTGAATTGTTTTACAGAAAATTCACTGATGTTGCTCAAGAGAGTTCCAAAGTAAGCTTTCCTTCTGCCCTCTAACATACATGTGGATTTGACAAGTTTATGGTCTCTTGTACTAACTGCTGGACTGTTTTGTGTGGTTTACAGACTCCCAATTTGCAGTTAGAGTTCTTGGTTGCCTACCTTGCGGAGCTGAGTTTGTTGGATTACAAACTTGTCAAATTCCTGCCTTCTTTGATAGCTGCATCAGCTGCTTTTGTGGCAAGATTTATGACTCGAACAAAAACACATCCTTGGGTAAGGATTTGATGAATTACTTATGCTGGCTTCCATAGTTCTATATGTATGAAAGCAATTACTAAGATGCATTCATTCCAGTGTCCAGCACTACAACAGCATACCGGATATAAAGCAGCTGATTTGAAAGAATGTGTTCTTGCCATACATGACATGTGCTTGGGAAGAAGAGCAAGAAATTTGAATGTTATTCAAGAGAAATACAAACAACCTAAGGTACTTATATCAGAAATATGTTTGAACTTTTCTTATTTTCTAAATTTCGGAAACAATGATTCTAATGGAGTTTTATTTTTCGAATGCAGTTCAACTGTGTGGCACATATTCCTTGCCCTCAAGAAATACCAGTTCATTTCTTTCAAGATCTGAAAGCATGAAGAATGATCTTTGAGGCAAGGGCTTGTCCAATGTGATAGGAAGATCTGGCTTTAAGTTGATTATGGCACGCTCAATGAAAGGGTGGTAATGTGGCCAATTGTCATTCGGTGAGGATGGGGCATCAAGTTTGATCTGCTTTGGTTTTTCATGGTTGGATGCTCACTTCCAAAACCGTTACTCCTGGTTAGCACATGATTAAACTTCTTCATGTTGGACTTCAAACATGGTGGTTCTATACTTGCCATTCATTGGATCAACAGCAGATAAGCTTTGATGCAGGGTTATGGTCTAGCACTGAACCAAATTACTTGAAGCCAAGGGGACATTGCACTTAAGCGGACTGTCAACTTCCAACCAAATGTGGTGCGATGATGTGAACATGGGACCTAATTGGGCAAGCCAAGATTTTCGAGCCACAGGTGGAACAATGTACATGAGCAAGAGCATTGCACTTGTTAAACTGAAACAGCCAGCCCTTGCCCTTTTCGTTGATGAAACTAATTTAATGATCTCCCGGTAACTGTAAATCTGTCTCTCTGCCTAGACCGAAACCAGCCGTATGTAAACCCTAGGTAGAATTTCATGGGTACACCTTTGTTCATGTAATAAGCTATGCAGTGTTCTGATGCAAATTTGAAGTTTGCTGACTTGAGGTTAAGTTTGGCTGTAAATGAGAACAGAAAATCATGATCTCTTACTCAAGTATGTTTCCTCATAAATTGGCGAATTGGAAATTCCAAATTTTAATTACATTGTATATTTGAAATTTTAATGAAAAATACATTCCAAATTTTTTTTCTCTTGTGCGTGATAGGGACTTGCTGTTAAGAGGCAAAACTAAGCGGCATCGTCGACCCCGTAAGCGGCATTTTATTGGGTTGGGTTGTTGAAGGCGATGGTTGATTTTGCAATCCCGCTTAACTTCCATGTGCCGGAGAAGGGAGAGGGAGGTTTGGAGTAGTGCTTGAGTGGTGGCGCTGCACTGCATGTGGATACTATCTCGGTTGAATGGGTGTAGGAATTACAGAGAGTGTTTTTTTGTAGTTGGGTGTAGAAAGAGTATGGTTGGAACTTGGGTCTAAATAAAATTACCCAAAAAAATAAAAATAAATGTACTTAAAAAAAAAAAAACCTTGCCATTTATTCCTTCCTCAAAATCCTATAAATTAAAAACATTGCGTCTGTGCATGAGTCGTATGTCAAAATCATTCTATTAGATGAGATTGCAAACACCTTTTTAATTATACAGAAATTCGGTGGACTAAACTAATTCCATTAACAAAAATTGATAAGGAACAACGAAGGTGGGATTTCTCAGCTCCATTCAATTTCATCCTCAGAAATTAGAGCCAATTTTTTATTTTTTATTTTCGGGCAAAATGAATAAATTAAAGAAAAGCCTCCTATTCTAAAAATTACAAAGTCTACCTGGTACATATGTTGAGTAACTAATGAGCTAACTACGTTATTTGGTTGATACGAGGCGTGCCAACTCATCGGCCAAGCTCGTCCGAGGAGTAAAATTTGTTGATGTTGCGTTGAGCATGTTGTCAACTTCTTAATCTTGCGATTGTGGTTGAGGAAGGAAAAAATCTCAACCTTCGGATTCTCGAGCCTGAAGACAAGGCTGCTAGTTCTGCGAAGTTCACGAATCTTCGGCGCTGGATTCGGTCACAGTAATTATATTCGTAAGAGTATAAGCATGTCGAATCGACACTATATTATATGGACACAAGTACTCAAAGGAGACATATGTCTTCATGGTAAATGTGATTCGGCTGTCAGAATGCCGAACTCTGAAACTCACTTGTGAGTATCCAATCATAAAATCACTTAGCGTTTAATGTGCTAAATGTCGTAACTCGTAACACCTTACCTCGCCAAGAAGTCGAGAAGGTTGATAAGATGACCTCTGCCAAGGATTTGGAAACCCTTCTCGACCGAGATTTAGATAGATGACCAATCGCCCTCGATGCAGTGCTGTTTATCCAAACTGAAGATGCTCCTCAGTCGGCTGATTCTACGGCAATAGTGTTGTTTATCCAAACTGAAGAT